TATAAGTATTTCTTTTATTACATTAAGTATATAATAGCCTTACCGATTTTACGGTTTAACCGTAAAAATTGTAGTGTATATATATGTAATTTTTTTTTCTCGTGTTATCGTGTCGTTTATCTGAATTAATTAAGTTTGGTTGGATTGTTTGAGAATTTTATTGTCGCTTTGAGGAATTTATCTGTATGTATATTATGGTCGACCCCTCTCTCCCCGTTTATTTTTTATTTTATTTTATTGTTTGTTTAAAGTTAAGAATCGTGTACATTTTTGATTTATCGATTTTTCGCGGAGATGGATTTGAAATGGAGTTTTCGATAGTGATCGCTTTTCTGATACTTTAGTGTTTTTTTTTTCCTCCCTTTAAGGTAACCTTTAAATCGTTTCTTCGTTGAAAGTCACCAGACAAGAACATTCTCATTCAATTTGACCTCTTTACATAAAAGTTTTAAATTTGTTATTGATTATTTTTTCTTCTTTTGCATTCTTTAAATTTATTTTCCTAAATTGTATTTAAGTACACAATTAAAAACAAAATTAAACATTCAAAATAAGTACTTTTAATTGTAAATAAATAAATTATATTTAATGTATAGTTTCTTCTTCTTTATTTAATAAAATTTAATTATTACTAATAATAGATTTAATCGTTTAATTTAATCGAAAATGATCGTCATTAATTAAAATTTTTAATTAAATTCGTCATCAACAGATGTCAACTTTTTGTTTGGGTGATTTAAAAAAAATCCGCGAATCTAATCACGTGCTTCGAACTGCCACTCGCCACATTTCTGTATTCAACATTTATGACTCATTCATTATTCACTGTTTATAGCCCGTATATTTATGTACCAAATTGGTATAAAAATACCAAACTTTTACGCATTTGTCTTCATTTAGACAAAAAGAAAAGAGAGAGAGGGGGGAGTGCGCACTTTCCAGTTTTGTTAGAATAATTGCGGATCGTATCCTCTTTTGAAAATTTAGCGCGTGGGACAATAAATAAATATAGATTAATGCCGACTTAGTTTTAATTTTCTGCACTATTTAGCGTGATTTAATCTGAGATACGATGAATTATTACTCCATTCAATCTTCTTCGACGTCATACCAGACATTACAACGCCATCTGGTGTGTAAAAGGTTACTTAGTTTCGAGTTCATAAATATTCATTCCACTCTTGTAACTCGTTTCCATTGTTGAAATTGATATAATTTTTTTTTTCGTTCTGTTGAAGAATATTTAAATTCTGAAATTGATTATTATTATTACTATTATTATATTATTGTGTTACGGCAATTGAATAGAGGTGAAGTTTACAATTTCATCAATTTCAGAAGTAGATCCATTGTAAAAATAAAATTAAAAAAAAAAATAAAATCTTATTACTGAAACAGATGAAACTGAAGTCTGGAGTGAACGGTTGGGTTTCAGGAATCGATTTATAATGATCTGGTGCCGAAATTGAGCTGTTTAAATAAGACATTGTACTGTCTCGTGTTCTATAATAATAATAATAATGAAATACCTTCCGAAATCTTGCAGTGTTTTCATAGAGATTTCGTTTGTATTATTATGTTAAAGACGGAATTAAGACGTTTACTAAATAGGTTATCGCTGCAATAAATTATACAAATTAACAAAACCGGAGCCAAAACGTAATTATTTATTAGTTAATTGGCATTCTTCTTGTATTTAGTGTCATATCTGTGTTCAAAAAAAAAAAAACAGAATTAATTTTGTTCTCGTTTGACGACATGATAGCGCAGTGTAATATATATAAAATTTTATAAGTTCCAGATGTTTTTATTTAAAAAAAAAAGTTGTCGGGGCAGTTCCCCCTTTTAAGAAAGATCCAAGCTTTAAAATGGAATATTTAAATAAATTTTAACCATGTTTTTTCGAAACAATTTCCTTACAATTTCATCCAAACAACGTAATCAATCCATCTAAAGTTCGCGTGTTAACTAGGCTCCGCCCGAGACATTTAAAAAAAAAAAAAACTTTTGGAAGAGATAAAGTGATTACTAAACTCCGCCCAATAATGGATTTGACTGCCTTTACGTACCTGTCAAAATAACGAAGTGTGTTTTCGAGAAGGCACACGAGAACCAATTTTTATTATTTTTTATTTTATTTATTTAAAAACTGTTAGGAGAGTTTTCAAAAGCAATCGGTAAACGAAGTTTGTGTGTGTTTTATAAAAGTTTAATGCCTTTTAGTTGGACGAGAAGGAGCTGCTAATTCGCAAATCGAGCAGAAAAGATTGGCGAAGTTATAAAACTCGAGCAAACGCTAACGATTTAATTAAATTTTCAAAAGAGGAATCGAAACGAATATTCACTTTTATTAGTTTTAATTAACCGCAGAGTTTCTGTAAAGTTTCGTGCTTGAATTACAAAGCTATTTTTCCCAGACCTTGTTATCGATTCTGAGATTGTAACGTGTTACAACGTTTCGGAATTTCTCCCCCCTCCTCCGTTTTAGCAATTTTCTTTTCTCCTCTTATTTAATTCACATTTTTATTTTATTGAAAAACTTCGCTATTTTATCCCATTATTTTCAGATAAATAAGTTTTGATATTAAAGAGACGATTCAGGCTTTTATTTATTTAATATCAAAAAATGTATATCATCTTTATCTGTATCTGTGATATTTCTTCCTCCTCCTCCTGGTGCTATAAGAAAATTGAGTAAATGTTCTTGGAAGAGTTTCACTCTCTTCCCAATTGTTTAAAAGAATTAATAGAGTTGGAGAGGATTAAATTGGAATTTGTTTGCATTTCCTAACTAATGAGGTTGTTTAGAAGTTAGCTAGGTGGATTTTGACATTAATAAATTTGCAAATATTTGATTATCTTTATTGGAATTTGGTGTCGGGATACAACTTTAATTTTCTCTAGTTGATGGAGTGTTATTGATGTTTAAATGACTTAAAATATATTTTGTAAAGATTCTGTTTAATTTCAATCTCGATAAAGTTTGAACATTTTAATTGAATTAAGTAAATTAATAACCTTAACTTTTTCCAGTACTTTGTTCTTCCTTAATTAACTTATCTTGTTTCTTCTTTCATAAAAATCTTCCTTATTGCTGCAATGAAAAAAAATAAGAAAAAATAAGTAGACTGCTTTTTAAACATGCTTTTTTATTGGTTAAGAAAAAACAAATTAATTTGTACCTTATGCTGAACTTTATAGTTATACTCATTACATTTTAGTTTAATATTCTAGCAGTATATGCAAAAGAAAACAAAAGAAATTTTAATTAAAATTGAAAATTATATCCAAATAAAAAAAAATAATATAATTAAGGAAAATAAATTTAAGTAGATAAAAGTTATATTCTTTAAACAAGATAGAGCATTAGAATATTAAAAATTAAATTAAAATATCCAGCAGCTATATAAATTATTTTTAAAATCATTTGATACTGATTTCCACTAGCTGCTATTGTCATGCCACAGACAAGTGCATTTAATATCTAAAATTAATCCAAATAATATTTTTATTTGGATTAATTTAATTTAGATACTTGTAAAAACTTTTATAACTCTCCAACCTATTTGGAAATATGCATATAAAATTTTATTATTTAATATCGTCATAAAAACTGCCTTTAAAATAAAAGAAATATGGTAATTGTATATTAAATTCTCTAGATGATAGCATAAAAGATATTTTAAAATATTTTATTGACAATTGATTAGACTATGTAACAATCCGACGATTACGACTGAAGTTTATCGTGAAAATCAATCTGTTTTATTATTTCTCTCCTTATCGGAATATTGTATTTATAGATACAATCTATATACAGTACTTTATCTTATTTCTGTTCATGACATACTTTCTTCCTTAGATAAGAGATACGGTTTGATTTATAAATGATATAAATCATATTAATGTTAATGCAATTTATTTAATTATAAATCAATTCCCTTTATACTCTTATTTATGAGATTAAATTTAAAAACTTTAAACATTATATAAAAAGATTAAATCACAAAGGGGTGATTCTATTTTTGTTGGACATTTAAAACCCACTGGATACTTTAAATAATAGATTTCCTTATTTAAAGTACTGAATTCATCTCCTTTAAAAGGACTAAATTGAGGAATTAACTTAATAGATTTCTATAAACTCTTTTATTTATTCCATTCAGCATTGGAATTAAACTGTATGTAAATTATTATTAATCCTGTTATTTGATAATGCATTATGAAGCATGAGAATAAAGGAGCATTATTATCTTTTAAACGTACTTCTCCGACGTTATGTAAGTTGCCCATTTGAACAGTTGAGTTTATTGGTTGTGTACTGTATTTACGTAGCTTTTTTATATCACTTGACAGAAATGATGATGAATGATGACAGATACCAGTCTTACTTGAAACAGTCATTATATTTAGATGACTAATAGTCGTTATATGTAATTTCGAAATAACTTTCCATTATACAGAATTTTTCTTAAGATATGACTGTGTTCTATAAATTAAATGTAAATTATTTTGGATATTTTGCAAAAAATTATATAATTATTCAATGTGAGTTTACATCATCCTTCATTTATCTATAAAAAGTCAGTTGTTAAGTTTGGGAGGGGAAAAGAAATCAAAAATGGAAATTTGACCATCGTGATGTCAAATTTTGGTTGGATTCCAATTATTTAATTATGGCCATCTTCAAGTTTGACGGTGGTCACTGGCCTAGAAAAATCCCTTTTCTGGAACGCATTTCTTAATTTAAAGAGATTAATATGAAAATTTCCAAATTAATTCATGGAATTTTGAATTACTCATTGTATATTTGACAGAGTGACATTCCTGCAACATTCTAGCACATACAAAATGCAATTATTTAGAGAAGTTTTCTAAACATTTAGATTAATGATCCCACTTATTGTACCTTAGATTAAAATGATAAGATGTAACAGAGCTTCTATAAAAATATTTTAATTCAATATTTCATTTCTAATTTGTATTTTTCTTTTTAACAGGTGATAACCAAGATCCTGATGCTTTGGGAATATGTATTATAACGTATCCCAGGTATCTACGTTATAGTGCCATGTTAAGGCGTTTGAACGGAGAGGTCGGAAAATGGCTAAGCAACACGTTGATAGTAGCGTTGGGAGGTTTTACTGTGTCCAGTCGTAATGTGTATATTTTGTTTTGTAGAGACTTTTTTGATCATGAAGGTCTAGCACAAAACGATGCCAACTGTGATCATCTAGGTAATTATTATTATTATACAACATAGCTTTAATAATACTTCAAATTTCATAACAAAATTCTTCTTGACAGCACCCATTTTTAAAGGTCGGCCAAGGAAAAAGAAACCCAAATCCCTCACCAATTCAGATTATCAGTATGCCGAAAACAATGGGAACAAGGTTAGGTTTTATTAAGATTCCTTTTCTACTAAAACTGCAATAAAAGAAATTTTACAAAATTTAAATCCTAGATTATCTAAAATTTAAAATTACAAGGCCTTGACGTACAGAAAGTGATTTCCTTAGTTTATATAAGCAAGTGTTTGTTGCATAATAAAAAATGCCTATATAGGTTACAAACAGCTGTGAAATACTAGAACAACATACCATTATCTGATACATAATTCCATCATTTGTTTATGACTATATAATTTAGATTTCTGGTGTTATTTTTGTTTGATATAAGAAATTAGATATCAAATAAAGTAAATAATATAAATTAATGCAATTTTAAATATAGAAATTAATTTATTTATAGAAAATTAAATTTAAAAATGTGGAGAATTATGAACCAAATGATATATTCTTGTTTATTTATGCATCTAATTTTTTTTTAATTATTCCACTTTAGATTAAAACAAGTACACCAAAGAGACCCTTGGGGCAGATGGAGGAGGGATTTCTCCGAAATCTTTTTGAATTTATGAAAAGTCGAAATACTCCTATTCACAGAGTCCCAAATTTGGGCTTCAAACAAAGTGAGTAACTTACAACAAGAAGTATTTTTTTTTATGCATAGATTAAAGTCTAATTTGATAACAAAACACATTTTGCAGTCACGCTAGACCATTCATCAAAATTCCTAACTCGATTTTTTTAAAAAAATGTAGTTTATTTTAATTTATAAATAAGTAAATATAAATGGGAAAAAAATAAAACAGAATTAGATTTTTATATTTCTGATTTCATGGTTTCCATTGACCTATTTTTCCGTAATTCAATACAAAAGTTTGTTTAACATTATTTGAAGAATCAGGTTTAGAACTTTTCCTGGTCCAGTTCACATCAATTAAGGTTATTATGATCTGTGTACGGCATACGTTGATGGAACAATTCTAACCGAAATTGACCCACTTACCAAAATGAATAATGATAGAAAATTAAACAAATCACAAAAGAAAATTTTAATTCCAATTTTATAGATGAATTATCTACCAATATGTGTCACATACACATACAGTTTTATTCTTTAAACAAACAATACTGGAAAAAATATTATTGATTTTTTTATTCATAAAAAATTTTATTATTATTTTCTTATTATTCAAATTTTTTTTTTCAGTTGATCTCTACCTCTTTTTCTCCCTTGTACAAAAATTAGGAGGATATGAACAGGTAGGTTAAATATATGTGTTAAAATTATTTAAACTATAAAATTAACCAAATAAATAATAAATTTAGACATTACAGTATGCATAATATTTAAAAAATATTTTTGATGATGACATTTGTTTATTTCCTTATACAATTAGACTTGTTTGTCCTTGCTTGAAATACCGTGATCATTCATAGGAACGACTTATAAATAAATTAAGCACGTCGACGTTAAATAATACGTGTTTTTTTTAAAAGAAAAACTGTATAAATTTAAAATATTTAATAATCAATTTATTAACTGTAAAGTAATATAAACTTCTAGCTATTTTTGTTTGCTTTTCCTGTCTCTTGAAAGCATTCATTGACTTCTTTTGGTATAATTATAAATAAAGTACTATACTCGGAGAGTTTACTTGATGTAATTGATAACGAAGATTGCCGGTGTCGCAATGGCCCGAAATGTTTTCCCAAATTACCAAATTTAGAATAAGCTTAGTAATTTAAACTTATCAGAATATTTTTTCTCAAGAATATAAACATTATGTATGAAAATAGACGACTCAACAGCATTTTTAAAAAATTCCAATCAAAATAATGTGCAATGTACGTCCTAAACTATTTATATTCATTCAGGAAAGCTGTATAAACAGATGGTCATTTTTCATATCCTTAAATGCATTTTTATCAATCTGCAGCTGTTTTTAATTGCTCGTGTTTCTTGGAAATGGAATTTAAATATTTTTATAATTAACATATACATTTCCTTTTTTCCCCCCATTTTCCTGTTTTAATGGAGTTGCTGACAATGCTATTTTATTAAATTTTATTTTTCTAGTAATATTATATTCTGTAATTAAACAAAAAGAAAAATCTGTAGGAGTGTATAACAGTTAGATATTCTAGATAAAAATATTCAGTTAATAATCTTGATGATCAGAATGACATTACAATATTGGGTGGAGTTGAGTAATGTCTTTATTGGTGATGTGCACACTTCCCATTATCCAAGTTAATGACATGTGACCTCGAATGGATTTATCATTGCTATAATATTCTTTATGTGTTTACAAATAAACAGCTCTTGACAATTGTAGTTAGGACGTGGACATTATTCCAATCTTTAAAGACCGAAAGAATAAATTTTTATTATAAAAATGTAAACAGGAGATTCCCTATATATATATATATATTTAACCAAATAAGCCAGTTTGATAGAAAATATGTCATATGCTATTGTATGAATATAGTGGCCTCTAAAGAGGTAAAACTGAATTACAAAATGTTTTTATTTGTCATGTTTACTTTTGTGTTTCAAGGAAAGAGATATTTTGATATATTTCTTGATAAATTTGTCAGTGGAATATGAATTGAAACATGACTTATTGAAGAAATATTAAATTTTTTATTATTATTTAAACTTTGGTATTACTTCTTACATTTTATAACAAGTATTTTTCAGTATGAAATCATGATTACTCATTATTTTAAATTAAACAGTGATAAATATAATGTTTAAAATAAATGTATGTTAATTAAATTAGTTATCGTGAGAGGAGCAGGAGGAGGCCATGTTTTTGAAAATGTGATAAATGCTTATTGATAAGGGAACTAAGGTACAGAATTGGGGCTACACCAAGGTCAACTCTTCTTTAGAATATAAGATTTTGTGTCCAGCTAAAGTTCGTGCAGAACTCGCAAAATTACGTTACAAATAAATTAAATTACAAGAAGAGCATTTTTAACAGAAAATTCCTTGTAAAAAATTTAAATTTTCAGGATGACCAGTGTTTGTTTCATACCTAATATATAAACTAAAAATAAAGCTTATTATATAGAAACTTTGTGTTAAATTTTAAACACAATTAAAATTAGAACTAATCAACTGCTATCATTAAAAACTGAATATCAAATTTCATAAATTGAAATTGTTAGAAATGAGCAGATTCTAGCCTCTTTTTTAATTAAATTTGATTCCTTAGTTAAAAAAAAACATTGTATCAAATTTTATCAAAATTTGTCCAGTCAACTTAACATTGTGTTAATGGATATGTGGAGCAAAAAAATATAAATAGAACTTGATCATTGATGCTGGAAGTGAATATAAAAAGAATTTTCCTAGAATTTCTAATTAATTTTGTTTTTATTTCGCTTTTTTTATAGTGTAAAAAAAAACCTTACTGCTTAATTTGAAATCAAAATTTGTTTTAAAAACAGAAAGAAAAATTGTTACTTCAGGATTGATATAAAAGACTTATTATTTATGAAATTTGCTGAATGCAAAATGTAAATAATAATCAAACTTATTTTTCTTTTAATTAGATTACTCATAAGAAACAATGGAAATTAGTTTATGATGAATTGGGTGGTAATCCTGGAAGTACCAGTGCAGCTACTTGTACACGTCGTCACTATGAAAGGTAAATAATCTAACAGTCATAGACAATATCCATTCTGTTTCATCAATAGTTAAGATTTTATTCAATTCATTTCAAAGGTATCTTAGCACTTACACTACGTACGTGCTTATGTTTCCTTTGAATTCGTCTATAACCGTATTCTAATTGTGGTTCCAAAGGTAACAAAATGGCACAGGAAATTAAATAATTTCATTACATTTGTCTATATCAAAATAAAGATACTACATATATCAATATTTCAGGCTTTTACTTCCTTACGAACGTCACCTGAATGGAGAAGATGACAAACCCCTTCCTCCTCCTCCACCTCCGAGAATCCGTAACAAAAAACTGAATTCCGAGAAAGATAAAAATGAACTGAATCAGGATGATATAGTCTGCTTGTATGCAGATAATGAGATTTCACAAAATAGAAGTGACGATAAATTATATGATATCAGCAACGGAAAAGATGGTGAATTGGACAGTCACGACGAATACATGGACGACAGTGAAGAGAAGCAAGAATGGCTGGATAACATTAAAGAGGAAAATGTGTGTGAACTTGATTCAAGTAACTGTTTAACAGAGAACCAAAATCCTGCTTTTATAATCAATAGGGTAAGCATTATATTAAATCATAATTTAAATATGCTTGGTATTACCATTGTTTTGTTTGTGTTTATCAAACATAAATTTAGATTAATGAATTATTTATTTTTCATCCTTGAGTGTATGAATATATTATTACTCATTGATTAAGAGAAAGGTAACATTGTAAATATTATTGTTCTTCATCCCACGTTTGTTTTGTAAAGAAGTAATTTTTAAATTTTATTTATTCATTCTAAACTGAGAAAAAACAAAATTAGGAACAATAGAAATGAGAACTAAATAAAGAATCTTGATATAGTAATGCTACCATTTTTAATTATTGTAATTATGTTAACTATCATTCAAGAATGTTGTAACTATGTTAAAACATTGGAGAACTGTTCAAGTTTTACAACTGTCCATTACAATTTCTCAATTCGTGCACCTCGTATCACATGGCACAGATCCAACAGATACCCAAATTCTTCCTACATTTGCTATGACATATCCATTGTCACTCCTCCCACAGAAGCCACAATTCTATGGCTCCTTGGATTACTCACATTGCAAAATGACAAGCAATTCTGACTTTGCAAACTGCCTTCTCTTTTGTGAAGTCACCACTTTTGTTTACTGCACTTCTTACAAAAAGTAGATGATGTTTGAATACAAGCAAGAAATGAAACTTGGATGGTTATTCAAATGATTAGTATATATTGCACGTTTCTTGGATAATAATTAACATAATTACAGTAATTTAAAATGGTAGCATTCATTTGGAAAACCTGGATATACTAAAAACATTTGGTTTAATTTGTTTGGTGCTACTAAAATTAAATTATTTTATTTTATTTAAGTTACATTAGTTATTTGCTACTCAAATTAGGTTAAAAAATATTAATTATTTAGTAGTACATTTTAAATGCACTTAGCTAAGAGAATCAGATCTAATATATCTCAAAGCAACTGTAAGTGACAGTAGTAAAGTATAATTTATATGCAGCTATCGAATGATGAATTATTGTACCTAACAACGCCATAAAGAATTTGATTGTGTTACAGAATACTGCCTTATAAAAAGCAATATGAAGTCTCTAGAATTTGCATGTCAATCACAATTGGAGACACATTATATTTGATACTAAGCTAAAATCAGTATAAATTTTGTTGTTGTTATGCTGTTAATACTATGTGGAACAAAAACAAATTTTCAAGGTTCAAAGTATCATAAATTCATAATTTAAACATAAATAACAGATAACACTATTAATATTAAAACTTCATCTACAAATAAACTAACAATGGAAATACCATCTGTCAGTCTTTTTAACTGCTGACAACAATGAGATTTTATAGAGAATATTAATAGTTTAAGGCATGATATTGTTTATCATCAAAAAGAATCACAGAAAAGAATTAAATTATGTCAAATGGACAAAAGTCATATTTACTTTATATATAATCTGTAGTAAACAAATTCTTTGACAATGCGAATAATTTCATTTGTAATTTTCAAATTAACTGTGCAGGTAAGCTGTTTCAGGTTAAGTACATTTATTGATATTATTATTACAGAAAATTTAAAGCATATTATATATAAAAAGAAAAAACCTTTGGAAAAATCAGGTTTACATGATTAAGGTTTTCAAAAGGAAAAAAAAAAACACGATGAAACATTTCCAAGTTTAATATAATCTTGGCGAACAATAACTCTCTAACAATAATAATTTTATTATAGTCGTCGTAAGATAAAAACATCACTAGATAAAAAAAAAACACATTTAATTGTATTATTTATCATCACTAACATAATTTTATGGAAGATTTATTAGGAAAAAAAAAACAAAAGAAAATTTTAGTTTCGAAGAATTATTCATTTTTTCATTAAATAATAAATTTTGTTTCACTTTTTTCTATTATACTTCTAACTATTAATATTTTCTTTGAAGAAATTGCCTTTTTCTTCCTTTTTCAATATAAGTGATAATTTAATTTACTCGAGTAAAATTAATAAATTTAATCCCCAGTTATGATTAATACTTCATAAAGAAATTACCTACTTGTAGATTTTAAATTTATACGTTTAGTTTAGATTCTTTGGATCTGTCCTTGAAGGAAATATTTTTATTAACTACATAATGCTTTTGTCGGTTGTCCTTGGAAATTATTGATTTCAATTAATTTTAAATTAAACAAAATTTATCAATTATAGAATTAAATAAAATAAATAAAAATGTGTTGTTTGTAACACAATTCATCGAGTAAGCCATTTATAAAATTTTCCTAATATGTAATCACGTTTTTACATTTAAATTATGAGAAAATATTTCATTATTACCTACGATCAGAACCAGTTTTACTATTTTTAATTTATTGACAATCTGCTAGAATTATTCAAAGAAAAATAAGAAAGTTTGAAGAATTTTATTAATTTAAATCGCACAAAATAGTTTCTAATGTTAAAACTACCCAAAAGAAAAACACAGACGTACAGAGTATTGTCAATATGTCCGCAAAGCACAATATCAAATAATTTTGGAAAAAAATAATTCTCGATCGTAATAAATAAAGCATTTCTTAGAAACAGACTGTTTAGTTCAGTAAATTTTTTTTTAATCTACAAGGTCATTGATATTATGAATCATTCTATTCAATGACAGTACATGTTAATTATTAATATATTCTGTAAACAGTATCTGAATGAGTTTATTCAGTAATTAAAACTGTTTATGTTTTATATTATTAAATAGTTTTTGAATTGTGGCAGATAGTAATCAGATGAGAAACCAGTTATAGACAAACTTTAGTTGTTTTGCACCTGTGATTAAATAAATGGTTTATGTACATTTATCGTATTTTAAGTGCGCAACAATAAATAACGTTTAGATGAAGATTATATAAAATTATAGGCATCGTGCTAGATTCAAATATTGTGTAATTTTATATTTAGCAATTAATGTACTTAGTCAGTGGCATAGATAATACATTTTGTTTTACTGAGGTTAGTTGTTTTCTGGTGCCTTAAATGAAACTACAATGAATTATTGCTTATATATGAACTGTTTCTCAAACTGAATTGCAGGGTACCTTAGGTTTCCACACCCACCTCTAGGAGTTTTGCAAAAAATCCAGACAAAATTTATAATTTACGGTGACAATTATTTATGCTATGAAAAAGTTATAATAATATACTTTTAAATATTTTAATTTATTAATACTTCTATCTAAAGTCAAATGAAATGTCAAATTATCGGTTTATAATATGGCTAATTAAATACTAAGTAATTTGTTTTATAGGTAGACATCTCATGCTAGATTTAATAATTATAATAAATCAGGTTTTTGAGTTGATGCTTATATATATATTGGATTACTATTGATTATTTTACAAAAATTTTCCTAAGGTTTACAAGAAGAAATATTTTTATTTAATGTTCTGTAATTTAAAAAAATGTGGCATTTGAAATTTTTGAAGTCACAGATAACGAAATTGCATGGCAGCACCATACAGATTTCAATCAGGAGAGAAATGAACTATAGATATGATTATTGCTATGCTATGTACTGCTGATCATATTAAAAATTAATAAATGTCTTATGAAAAACAAGAATTTGGGCCAGTGGCAAAATTTGAAAAGCTCGATAACCAATTTTCCCTATCTTACCAGTCTCTTCTTAGACAAAAACCAAAAATATTTTACCTGCTGATGTTTAATTTCCCTTAATGAATCAAAATTTGAACATTAATAACATCAACTAGTTTCTTATTTGCAATAAATACATTATCATATTTCTCTATAATTCTTCAATCAACAGAATGTTTCAGCTATCAGGAACAATTACTAGAATTCATTTTAGTTTGGAAATTGTAGCACTTGAATTTTCATTTGAGTTTCATCTGATTTCTTTCCAAAGAAATCGGGAGAAATTTAATCTTGCTTCATTTTTGAGTTAAATAGTGTAGCTTTATAAGAACCGTATTATCCAGAACTTCACGAAGTTAATCAGAAACACAAAAATCACAAAATTTACATCTTTCAACTTTGGATTCAGCATTTATTAAAGTATATCCTTTTATCTTGAAGCTTCAAAACTTTTTTCCTCTTAATTTCATCAAAGAAAATAGTGAAAAGTCAAAGATCAAACCCCTATGTACCCTGAATCTAACTGCTTGCACTGGTCATGACTATTTTGCCAAATCAACTTTTCATACCATTATTTTTTATCCCCAATATTTGGACAACACATATAGTTAATCCTCTGTCAACAACATAATTTTTTAAATCAATTTACAATTTTTTAGTTAATGATCATGCAAGCCATCAATGTGAGAAAATTTTAGGAAGATTTACAAATTTTAAATGTAACAATACAAGTTTAATTTTTATAATTATTTCTTCACACTATGACTTGACAATACCCTACAGACTATGCTGAAAATATCAATAGTATAAGAAATTGTCTGCTAATTAATGTAAAGATGTGTTTTTTTCTTAGTGAGATTAATATAGTAACTATTTTATTAACATTCTATGGAAGAAATCTGAAAAATGTTTATTTTGTAAGGATTTGACATTCCATAGTTCAATTTCATTGTAATGATGAAATTGAAAAGTTAAAATTCAAAGTGACTTTGCATTTTCAATTACAATTCCTACTACTGGACAAAGAACGAACTGGATTCATGTATTTAACATAAATTTTAAAAAATTGGTATTAATTTAAATCAAATTTAAAGTTACTTCATTTTAAATTCATGTTTTTATTTTTAAATAGTCAACATTACTTATCTAATGAATTTCCAACCATAATATAACAAAATGCAATTAAATTTCAAACAAAGCTTGAAAATTTATCCTAGTTAATTTTTATGCAAAAAATATTTGTGTACTATTCACATATGTTTTCTATAATTTCCATCAGAATTTTAAAAAAACAAATATTCTGAATAGGGTAAAATCCATAAACCAGATGTTCATAATATTCTGAACTAATGATTTTGTGATAGAATCATCAGCTAAGTTTTA